GTGTTAGCACATCTGATAGATAAAAGTAGTCTTATTTGCAGTTGATCTTAACTTTGTTAGATATTTCTCACTTAGGAATGAATTCTAGCGCATCGCAGTTCACGTTCGATCATTAAAAAAGTCGAAAGATTAAATAAAACACCAACAACAGTTGCAATAACAACAACAACAACAACAACAGCTTAAGTGCAGTTGACTGCATTGGTTGCATTGGCAGAGGCAGTAAAAAGCAACGTAAGCGCGAAGACGCTAAAATTGGGTGTTGCTTGTTTAATGGATTTCGTGAGTGGGCAGAAAGTGGAGCTTATGTATTTGGAGCAAATGAGGTAACAATAATGAGCATTTTGCCTTTAAAAGTTAATAAAGAAAGCATTTATTAAATATATTTAACCGAAATACTAATGTATACATACATATATACATTCCACGACTAATATATGTACTACGTACATAAAAAAGCAAAGATGAAAGTATCTTATTAAATCAAATTTATGTATTTTGATGGTTTATGTGTGTAATACATTTTGAACCAAATTATTTAACTGAAATCTCTTTCAGATTTGAGCTTAAGTGGTTTACAATAAGTGATTACTTAAAGAAACTATAGCCCCAAAGAACCCAAACTAGAATCTAATTTCCGCAAAGTCGAAATATCGTCACCCATAAGAGCAGCATCAACGGGAAACATATCAGCGATGCTAAATCTGCAACTGTTACCTGCGCATTGCCACTTGGCATTTCTTAGACTCCGCAGTAGAAACGCTGTGCAGTCTTCAAGTTTGGTGAACAAATTTTTCCTTTGTTGTTGTTGTTTTTGATAAAGGCACGTCATTGTTGCAATTGCGGCTGCCGCTTGTGTTGGTTGCATTGATGTCACATTTGCTGTCTGAAATTACGTTGACGTTTGTTTAAGATACAAACGGTGCACATCTGCAAATGTCAATCTGTTTCGCATCATTTGCTTTGCTGGCCTGGAACTGAAATTGAAACTGAAAGAGGAAAAAGTGGGGAAAATTAAGCGGGCTGAATGCGAGTGAGTGCCTCAAATAAGCTTCATTTTTCACGCCATTTACAAAATCTTGTAAATAGTTTGTTTAGCAGAAAGCGTGAAATTCAGAAGCAGCAGCGACACCAGCAGATACCCAAACGATATTTGTTGCAACACCAACAACTCAGGAAAAATGTTGACAGTGCTTGCAATTATGTGAAGATTGATTGAAATAGATTTGAGATTGATTGGAGGCACTCGTTTAAAGGAAAATGAACTTTGGTATCGTTTTTTTGTAATGTTTATTAGCAGTTGTAGATGAAAATAAAACGATACCAACACTTTAAAAAACTGAAATTAAATTGATTATGTTAAACACAAACCTTTCATACCTAATAACATACATTCATATATAAATAATCTTTTTTGATATAACGTATTGTTGGAAAAACATTAAGAGGAATAATTACATAAAACTACTTACTAAATAAGTACTAAAAAATAAAAAACTATACTAACACTTAAAAAAATGAAATTAAATTGATTATGTTAAACACAAGCCCTTCATACCTAATAACATACATATATACATATATCATGTATTGTTGGAAAAACTACTAGAGAAATAATTATACCATATAAGACTACACAAAAATAATATATTTTGATAATATTGATATCCTCCATATTCAGCACTGGCTATATCAAGTGAACTATTTATATGTTCAAATTTTGACGGGCTTTAAGCCGTGTTTTTCAAATTTATATTTTATACAAAAACTTATGTTATATAAAAACAAACCTAAAATTAAATTAAAAATATCACAGTTAATATATATATAACATATTTATTTAACAGTTATTTCAGTCTACACTTAAGATCAGCTTCAGTGTCACTCCAAACAAATAAGAATTATTTATTTTGTTTTTAACAGACATTTCTTGGTATTCCACTTAAAAATTTAACATGGTTTAAGGAGATTTGATTATATTTCTTTTGAAAGATATCTCGCAATTGGTAAGCCTTAGCTTGAATGTCATAATATGACCATTTTTTTAGTATTTTTGATCGTATATTGTAGTGTTTCACTCATTATAACGGCTCTTTTATGGTGTATAATGGCTTTTCATACACATATTTTGCATTTTTAGTGCTGTTACCTGGCAGTAAACTAAGTACTGTCTGCATGAGTAAGTGCAAGAGTCACTTCGTAATTAATATGAATTTCTGTAACAATTAAACACATAGTGATATTTTTAATGTATGTAGAGGTAAAAGTGGTTTTTAAACTACTAAGTTGGTAATAGAAATATTTTGGTCTAGTGGACCCATTGCAATAACACATATTCCTAGTTGGATTCTTAATCGTACAAGGATATGGGAAGTCCTCCACCTGTTCATAATCTAATGTTGTCATATTTTTTATGTGCTAGACAGTAATAACGAAGGTGTGTGATGGCCTCCTGGTTTTCATTACCATCACAGCTACTACTGGCAGCACGTGCGATGTCCTCTAGAGTTCTAAGCTTGTTGTGATGAACCCTTGACCTCAAGCAGCCATAGAAGCAAAAGTTTATTGGTGTCAAATTAAGCTTAGGTATCAGTCAGTCCGAATCACAATTATTTGATATCACACGACTGAGGAACAGTGAATTTAAAAAATCGATTTTAACACGAGCTGTAAGAGCTGATTTAGTATTTTTGGAAACTAGAAGTATTGAATAAAATTGGTTATTCTAGTCTGATAATGCACCTGATGATGTTTGTTGTTTTGAAACTGACGTGTTTGAAAAATTTAAAATTTGATCAGTGCAAATTCCGCACCACATTCTTACCATTTGTCATCAAAAGTTTCATTTGCTTACTGTTCCTGAAAATTGATGAGAACTTCAGGTTTGAGGAATAAATTAACGAATTTTATTTTAAATATTTTATGTAACAATATATTAGATATATATAAGATAATATATCTTACATTATCTAGCACAACTTGAATAAGAAGACAGCTTAATGTTAATTGATTTTATCCTGTTCTTTAAAATAATGAAAGTTTACCTACTATCTAGTGTACCATTCGATCGAAATATTTCAACAAATGCTTATCAGTGATAAATATTGTTCGAAATTTAATATTTTCTCAATTTTTCGAATATAGTAATTTTTATAATAAAGTATTTTTTTAAGTATTATATTATTATAAATAAAAATCAAGACCAAAACGATTTATTATAGCCAGAAATGAAACCTGAAGGAATTAATTTATTTATTTTCCCATGGGAGTTAGAAGTATTTGTAAATATTTATATTATTCCATGGCTCCATTTTTCTTTTAATTTGTGTTTCATTCAAATTATTTGAATAAATAACAAATTTCTCTTCTAATGTTGTCGAAAGCCTTGTCATGTAAAGTTCAATTTCTCTTTTTACGGCATGGTACAAAGATAGGTATATTTGATAGATCAGATTGGTTTTATTAAAATTATACATTTCGGAAAAATATAAACATATTTTCTAATCAAAAAATATATAGTCTATTTTGAAGACATGCATTGATATAATTATAATACTTCAACTTCTTCATTTACATTCTACTTACGTTGCGTATGATCCATTTTTTTAATAAGGAATATTATATTTTTCACTTTATTCGTATATTTTTTTAGGAACCCCAATGTTTTAAATAACAATTAAAAGTAATGTGTTTTTTTTTTCTAAATTGATATTTCCTAATATAATATAAAGTTTAATGTCCTTGCTATGACATACTAATAATTTTAAAGATTTTTTTTCATTTTGTGCAAAACCTTTGTGTATATCATGTGCTTTAAAAAAGGGATTTAGACCGTAAACTCAGTAAGCTTGCGGTCTGACATATATATATCAACAATCTTGACAAACTCATGATTTTTGCTTTTATGATTTAAGTATACTTTTAATCGAGATTCTTAGTCGATTAATTTAAAATGAAGAGTTATATATATTTAGATATTGCCAATCAATACAGTTCCACATTTAAATTTATGATCAATTTTCAGAAAATTGAAATGAATGATTTTGATACTATTTATGATATCTATATATTTATCTATTTATATTATTAAAAATAAATCTTAAAGTACTAATGATGTCTTAAGTAGATAGTACGATAATTAAAATTTTGAATTATTTTTGAAATAAATCATTTTATTTCATAAATATCATGTGTAAACTAAGGTTCTTTAGGAGTTGATCATAAAGGAGATGTCATCATTAGACAATGTTAAATCTGTAGATCTAAGAGTCATTTATAAATCAAGAACACACCTTGAATTTATATGAAACATGGTAAGATTAAATTGATTGTTCTTTTATGTGTCTTTCATTATCACAAGATTGATTGCAACAATGTCAATATTTTTATATAATAAACAATGAAGAATGAAATTTTTTAATAAATCACAAGACAAAGTCAATTGCAATATAAAAATATTGTTAATATTATTAATTATTAATTATTATTATTATTTATTAATTTGCAATAAATATGTACTAATTATACTTAACCAACTTCTGCATATTATTAAAACAATTAATTTCATGAGAAAATATTTTTATTTAAAATTTATTTAAAATTCCATTAAATAAAATAATTTCTGTTGTAATTTTAAAATTTATTAAAATATTTAATATAATAATTCATGCTAATTTCATAATAATAATTAAATAGATTTTTATTAAAACATTAACTAATTGACTAAAATATCAAATGCAACTACACTATTAACTACTAAAACATATTTCATTACAACTAAATAATAATTTTATTTTACAGATCTAAGAAATCTTTAATTAATTACAACAATACTTTTACAGAACTTCATGAGAGAAGCAGAAATTCATTATCGTTTCACAGAGGAATCTGACATTAAAATATTTATTTCAATAAACGTTTTTGCAATTAATTTAAATATTGTTAATATTATTATTCATCTTTGTGTTTTATATTTATAAATTCAACAATTCAACTGTTTTATACACAATTTAGCTAGAAAACTGCTTTAAATTCTGACAACTTGTTTCATATTTTATAAATTTAATTTTTATAAATGTGTCCACATTATCATTTTTACATAAAATTCCAATATATTTCACGCATATTTGGTTTCCGAAAGATCGATTTTGTACACCCTACGCCGCAACTGCCAGGCATTTATGGTCGTCAGCAAATGGAATTACCAGAATCCCAAAGGGACATAAATGCTTTCTTAAAACTTAAGCTCTTCATTTGTACCAGGTATAAGGTATCTGAGTGTTGAGTTTGACCGGAATTAAGTTTTTAGTTTGTTTTCAAATTCCACCGCCTCAAACTGCAGGTTCCATAAACTAAAAACGCGTAATCTACAAATGCCAATTTTGGCATTTTTTCGTGATATTATAAACCCGTTTTAATGAAGTGATAACATCTGTAAAATTTGTTAATTATAGTGGTTTTTTGCGCCGTGATGATTTTTTTAATTTACGATCTATGATGTTGGATTTTAGGTTTCCAGAAATAGAGTGGTTCTCATGCGCAACAAGTTCGAATTTGGAGCAGTTTGGCAGTTCATTTAGTACAAAATATTTGATACATAGTTACTTTGGAAACTGCACACATAGTAATTAGATCAGATCTTCAAGCAATCACCTTTGAGCATTAGTATTGAGCATTGTGCTGTGGCACCAGTCAAACCTTGGTCGTCAAGTCAAGTGCAGACGTTGTTTTAACTACAGAGTTTTCAACCTTAAAGCCTCCAATTTCTAATTTAAGACGCTTGGTATTTGACGCAGAGTCCAGTAAATCTTCAGTTTCAGTATATTGCGTATCAATTATATTTCTTTTATTATTTTCAAAATTTTTCTGACTACCTTCGCTGTCACTGCTATCAGTTTTATTGTTGTTGTTATTGGATTTACTTGTGCCATTATTATTTGCCATTGTTTTTATTGTTTCTGTTGTGCTGTTGTCATCGTCATCTATACGCACTTCCTCTCCATCATGTTCTGAAGTCTCTTCTTGCTTACCTTCTAATCCGTTTTTTAATTTTGAATGCTTATCGCTGTCTGTCTCATTTTCACTTTCACTATCGGCACCTGTCGAACTGCACTTACTGCTTAGCGAACTGGTTATGGAGCTGCCAGTCTTCATGCTTAGATCTATTGGATTATCTTGCAATATGCGCTCTTTTCTTTGCGTACAATCGCCACCTGGTTGTGGGTTAACTGGCGATCTGGGGGGCGTCATCGAAACCACCAAATCTTCGCCACATTCGCTTTCGTTGCCATTGGATTGTCTATCTAAAGTTTCACTGTCATCCATGTCGTCGTTGCTCTGTCGACTTTTAAGTCTTTCTCGTCCACTTTCAGAATTAGGAGTTACAAGCGCTGATATGGAGTGATCATGCTTTCCATGCGCTGTTAATCTAGTGGTTGGTGGTGGTGGACTACATTGCTGTGACTTGAGTACTGCGTCTAAATAAAATCGCTTGGTAAGTTCTTCGGCCGCTTTACTACCATTCGGCAAGTGGTTGTTGTTAATTGTATCAGTTCTGGGACTATGTGCATGGTGCTCATCTTTATCTCGTGGTTTCGCCAATGGAGAAGTTTGAACGGGGCTGGGAATAGTAGGCATAAAACGGTTCGGTGAGGCATTGGTAGAATTAAAAAGATGCTGTACAGCCGCTGCTGCAGCAACTGCTTGTTGTTGTTGTTCAGATGAAGGCTTCAGCAAACCCTGATGATGCTGATACAAAGCAGGATGATAACCAGAAAATAGTAAATGCGAGGGCGGTAAAAAGGAAGGTGGTGGCATGACGGGCATTGAAGCGAGACCAGGAAATGGTAAAGGTAAAAATGGTGGCAAGTCTTTACGCAATTGCGGCGGTAAAGGTGTAGGTTCAGTACCAACATGTTTGCTTCCTAAATGCAGTAATGGATTCCCGCGTACATTCACTTCTACTGAACTATCCGAATTATGTGATTCGGGTGAGCTTACGGACGGTGAAGCAGCAGGATGTTTAGCATACTCTTCTAAGCCTAACATCATGAGTTCTTCTTTTGTGCGTGGTGGATATAAGCCTGCGTAAGCATTGGGATGACCTAGCATTCCCAAGGCAGCTGCTGCTGCAGGTGATGGAATGCCAATACCACTGTGTGGTGCTTTTGGTCCCAGTGCATGCGCCGCATGTTGTTGATTTGCTTGTTGTTGTTGATTATTTTGATGTGCTGCCATGGCAGCAGCGGCTTGTTGTTGCTGTTCCTGCAGTAGGCAGTGGATTTTAAACCAATTCGAGCGACGGCCATAACGTGAACCACTTTTTGACATGCCCACCATTAAGCATTTCCGCAAACGACAAGCCTTACATGCTGTGCGATTTTTCTTATTAATGATGCATTCACCATTGTTTTTGCAATCCGATATCGATGACAAATTGTTGTAGGAGCGGCCGAAAAATGACTGCAAGGAAATGTAAACAAAATGAAAAAAATTATTATTAACTGAAAATGTTAAGGAAGCAGCGGGAGGAAATGCTATTACGACGGCGCTAAGCTGCAGACAAAGCAGCAGCAATTGCCACATGCATTTTTGCGGCAGAGGCATATATTTTCCGAACGTCATTTTGTTGTAGGTGTTCACTTAGTGGGCGCTAGACAAAGTGACGTTAAGTGCAGATTAAAACTTGCTATGTAATTTGGTGACTATGCAACGAAAGAATTGTGTGACAAAAAATTTAAATGGTTAATATTAATAGCCCTTCCGACTCGAAACAATGTTGCTTCAATGGAAAAGACATTCGCGATTTCCACCCGCTTAAGCAATAAAATTTATTTAATTTTACAAATTAGATTGTTAGCGTTAGATTTTTATAAACCTCTAAAATTCGTCTTTATATAAATTTGAAAAAAATTATAGACAAAAGACAGGTGAACAAAAAGAAAGCGAAGAGAAATTAAAAATTTTTTAGAGACAAAAAAATATTTTGAAAAAAAGAAGCCGTGCCGTAGACTATTCTAATATGTAGTTCTGCGATCAGCTCGAGAGCTTAATATTTCGTTAAATTATGTCCAGTGTGTCTAATGAGAAGTTTAGTTGGGATGTAAAATAATGGTAAATTTTAAGAAATTTGAGAGAAGAAAATTTCTATGGTAATATTATGGTTCTGTTATCGAACACAATTGTGAATTACATGCGTAGAACTTCTGTTATAGAATCTTTATAGAAAATCGTACTATATTAAATATTCCTTCCCGGATTTTGACACCTTGAAAAATCCGCATCAAGAAATTACACAAACAAATTTTTCTCAAATTTAAGCCCAAGTACATGGACATCAGTAGAAAATATTAATTTGATTTTAGTTATACAGACTATGAATATGCAGATACTGTAATCTTTTTTATTTTTTGTTCTTTTTTTGTTGTTTGTTGCCTTTTGATAAATTCTCGAGCTTATCGCGGAGTTAAGGTTTTTACTGCCATAAGAACTAATAGTCTGTATTAAAATTTTTAACAGATATGCAGTGCTATCACTTTTAAATAGAATCATGTTGGTCTATGGTAAATAACAAAATCCGAGCCAAAACAAAAAAGGGATTGTACTTATAAATATAGACATATATATGATATATATATATGTACTAAATACAAATGTAATCTATATATGTACTATATGTAGAAAAATGATGTCATTTAGGATCAACTGCACCTATATCCAAACTATGTAAGCAGTATGTATATATGTGTGGTAAATGTGATATCACCTGTTCCGAGAATTGTTGGTAATACTGAAATTTTATTTTATATAAATAAATTAGGTAATTACCCTAATAATTTTTATTATTAAGGAATAAAAAAATCACCATGGGTTGGTAGTTATGATAATAACAATATGTCAATAATAAATAATAAAATCATCACTAAATATCAGTTATGATAACAATAATATGTCAATGAGTGCATGCATGTCAAATTAAAGTATATATAATATATAGTATGACAAATTAAAGCTTCCGTGTTTTTATTTATTTAATAAGAATTATGAAGAGTCCAATGAAACACATAATATTTAGACGTTTTTAATTTTTTCAATATACAAATGTGTATGAATTTATTAGGATGGAACCACTTTCGAGGTCTAATTGACCAGAGTATTTTTGTGACAACTGCTGCTTGAAAAAGTTTCCATTCATATATACAATATTAATAGTGATATATACGAAAAATTAACTTTAACACAGTTGTTATGTTTAATATATATTTGATATTATATTATACATATGAAATACATTATATATAAATGATAATATGCTTCTGTTACATGTAGTTAATAACTAACTCTGAAGTCTCTTGAAAACTACTATTTGAAAAACTACTATTTGTAAAGAAGTTCGACTTCTTAGAAGGCAAAATAATTAACAAATCCCATGCATATTCCACATGTGCGTCCTTGGGAACTCTGTCGTCATGTCATAAGATTAACTCACTTTTGCTACACAATTGCCACATGACGCCTATTTCAAACGTGAAGCAATTAATTAATAAAAATCAATTTGTGATGTTTATTTGAATTCAATCAATTAAATAAACCAAATTTGCGATTAACAAATAAAATGGCTAAATGATAATTACATTAAATCTTGTGCATGTGAACTTTTTGCGAAATTTAATTGTGCAAGTCAATAGCACACCTACAACTCAAGCTGAAAAACTATTGCCGCAATGTGATTTTCAACAAAATACATAAGTAATTTAATTTAATATACAACGAGTAGCAACAACAACAACAACAACAATAATAATGACAACAACAACAAAACACAATAATTAAGGCAACAAAATTAACAAAGGTTTACGTTTGTTTCGTTCGGTGTTTGTTTGATACGAAACAACAACAAAATGGGAAGAAAAAAAAAAAAGTTGCAACAGAACACTTATGCCTAAGAAGTTGGCAGTAAATCACAGTCGAAACCATCAAGAAATCAAGAAGTAAAGACTTTGGCAAGCAGAGTAACCTTAGTAACAAAAAATGCAACCATTGCACTTCAAAAGGCAACAATCAAAAAAAAAAAAAACGTAGTAGAAAAAAAAGGCATGCAAAAGCGCGGAAAAAACAAACAAACAAATTACCGGCTAAATTGGCTGAGTGCAGAAACAATGAACAATCCACTTTTAAGGTTAATTGGGCATCAAGATTACTGGGTCGGAAATGGGATTTCGGTTTCGTTCGAAAGACCAGTGAAAACATGCATCATAAGCGATGTTTACAAGAGTATTAGCAGGCAGTGAAGACAAAATAATTTACAACTTATTGCAGTTCAAGAATATGAGAATATCACAATAGTAAAAGAAAAAAAAACAAAGATTCACTATTCAAACCTTCTAGCCAGAATTGCTACAGTTCAGTTCAAAAGCGAAACATTTTGACCTACAAACTGCCTAAGGTGGCAACTCTTGTTTTGTTTGCTTATTAAAATAATGTGCCAATGTGAATGTGCAAAAACTGTGACCTTCTTCCACCTACCAAATCCATTTAAATCAATTACTTCGCCTTTAGCTTTTATATAAACTTTGACATTATCAACGTAATTTTGCAATCATAAAACGCTACAAGACGAAAGATTTGTAAGAGCAGTATTATTGCTGGCTTTAAGTAATTGACATAAATTGTTGCTGTTTCCATTATATCCACTAACTAATTATTGTTTAAATATTTGGTTCATATTTTGACCTTCCAGCATCTTAGTGGTTCATAGTTAGAACTTTTTCAAGAAACTAATGCTTGCAATTTTTTAAATTGTTAAAATCACAATTAGCCTCTCTTTAGTGATCGTTAAGCGTGATTTTGAAAACATATCTTTGAAGTTTTTCTGCTTCAGTGACCGAAAATCGTGCTAAACTATCAAATTAAGGCTTATAAAATTATTTAAAGTATTTTTAATGATTCATTTTTTCTCCACGTTGATTTGATAAAGTCACATCAACAACTCCATAAATACTTCAACGCCTTTCAAAGATTGCTGTCAATATTTTTGCCTGTCATAGTGGGAACTGTTTTCCACCGCGATTTGCTACAATTCAAATCCAAAACGATATTTTAGGTTATTTGCTATACAATAATTGGCAAACAAATTATAAACATTTGACCTTAGTAAGTAAGAACAATAATCGACAAAGAAGAGAAAATAAAAAAATCATAGTCATATAATGCAATGGGTTATTAAAGCACCTCGTACACCCTACACAAAGTTTCTATTGAATGACCGCATTATATATGTATGTCTTTAAAATACATAATTAGGAACTTATTGTAATATCTTTTCGCTTCTATAAAAAATACGAAACTTTGTGCTTTTTTTGAAATTAAAGAGTAATTTTTTCGACTTTAATTTTTGAAGAGACTTCTTGAACTGAAACATATAAAATGGGTACTTTTGATATAACTTTCGGTAGAGTGAGGAAATAAGTGGTAAGTCAGTCAGTTTATTCTTGAAACACGTTATACATATAAGAAAACGGAGAATGGAAAATATTATTTTTCTTGCCATCTTCCATCTTTAACACGTGCTCAAACAAAACTGAGTTAAACAATTAACAAACTGTCAAACTCTTTTTTAATACAAAATCTAATTTTTCCTTACCATCATCTAGCGTAACCCAATCTGGCTTATACAACGGGAGATACAGATAACTAAAGCCATTTATGGGGAAAATAATGGATGTCTTTTTAATACACCTAATATTTAAAGATACTTCTATAGCACCTAAAGTAATTAGAAAGTAAATTTAATATACAGTAAAAGTGAACAGTTAAATAACGTACCTAAGCGCCTATTTATAAGCATATCGACGTACACTTCCTTCAAATACAGACTGTATTGTAATTTAACTGTAACTATAATTTACTTAACCTAAATTCTATTCAACTTTGTATACTAAACTGAGTTTCTAAGACTTTTTGTTCATCGTTATTGATTCTTTAAGGAGGTACTATATAACGATGATCCCCGATACTCCCTAAAGTCAATTAGTTCACTGTTTTACTGTATAACAATTCAAAGTATTTAAAATAAATTGGATTTGAGAAAAACTCAAAAACTGTTTAAAGTTAACTAAAGCTTTAAATAAACCCAAAGATTTAATGGGAAATTTGATGTCTAATGGAGTTCTCCTACAAAGTAAGTCCCTAGCTTGGTTAATCTATATTGCATATGCAGAGAACAGATAAAAACATCTCTTCTTCTTCGCACCTATTACTGCAAGCATTATTTAAGGAGTTATTTAACCTTCTTAGCTATTAATAGGTCTAAAACAATTAAGCATAACGAAAGAATTCTACATATTATTCGTTTATCGTTGTCATCACAACCTAATACTTTCATGTAAAATCTATAAATCTATATTCCCTGATTGGTGATTTAAAATTTTGGCTGAATGAATTTAATATTTATGAATAATATTAAACAAATACTTAATTTCTCTATGTTTATATGTATAAAGAAATTATAATAAGATATATATTAATATGTTATTATTAAATACAAAAATTTCTACTTTCATAATACAAAATAAACTCCTGCAAGCTCAGATAACAAATAATCAAGTAGAGCCTTTAGGTTTAATTTTAAAGAAATAAGAAAATGGCATTAGACTATATAGTAGTTTAATATTGTATACTGAATGGATATGTAAAGCCTTACACTTAAAACCATTTTGTAATATTTGAATATCGTATTAATATCTGTATCGTATATATCAGAAAATTTGTAAATTTTGAAAAGTTTTATGCAGATAATAAAAACTAAGATTATTATAGTATCACAGAAATGTTCATATGTAGATTTGAGACAAGAAATTATATTGTTTTTATAAAAATAATACGAAAAGTACTTTAAATAGATTCGTAACGAATAAAGTGAACAGTTCTTTACTTAATACCTAGAAACAACATATACCATATGTTAAAAAATTGAAAATGTTCTCACTAAAATAGTGCGTACGGCAATGTATGTTAATTTAAAAATAAAGAAAGGATTAAGGATGTTACAAAACAAGAAAAACCTATTAAAAGTAAGTCAAGGAAATACCTGCCACTTTTTGAAAGAAAAATCGATTTATTCCTATTATAGCTTTGAAGAGTCGTAATATAATGAATGTAGACTGCTAGAAAAAGGTTTGTTTTCTAGAAACTAAGACATAATTTATGTAATATTTTAATTATTAAGATAAATATAATAATTCAAATTAAATTAAAGATATTATAGATATATGCAGATACCAAATAATCTCCAACAATTTTACTGTGAATTTAATCTTATCACCTTATGCGATTAAATATTTGAGAACTTCATAAATTTAATTTCATGACGAAAACATAATTCTGCAAACTACTAAACTCATTTTGCTTTTAGATGAGTAGAATAAACTGTAAAGGCAAGAGTTTTTGGAGGTGGAGAACTGTTGTTGTATTTTGAAATCACGTTTTGAAGATATGTCCTGCTTTTTTTGATCATCAAAGCATATACTTAATCGATTGAATAATTTACAATAGTAAAACTTAACGACAAGTTTCTCTCTGAGATACATAACCATGCAATGTATATATCAAATTTTACCTTAATTTATCTTGAATTAAGGCAGTTCAAGTTTGAACTATACAAATTGCAAAGACTAAAATGTTTACTATGAAGATAGGTATTCAAGAAAGAGGTTTAGGAATTTCAAAATAATATATAACATATTTCATTATTATGATGTGATTGTATTGAATCCATTCAATCACATCATGAGTTTACAAGTCTTCGTATGTTTAGCTAATATATATCGCATATAACTACTGACAATGATGAATTCATATTTTTATAATGTAGTATGAATGTGTACTCGTAAATATATTAAATCGCAATTGATAGCTGTTTTTGTTTTTTTTTAGAACGACCTTCAACTCATCTTTACTATTAGTTAATAATGAATTATTGCCGTGTTGTGTATCTTGCTTATTATTAAAATTATTATTGCCTTTGTTTTTGCTTTTATTATGAATATCAAAGCAATCGTCGAGCTCTGTTTCATAATTGTTTTCAAGTTGAAGCTATAAAATAATATTTCCTATAATGAAAACTGCAATAAAATATAAAATGCAAAATAATTTTAAAATCAAATCGAAATTGCTATAAAATAATAAATCCATTTAGTTAATAAATTGCGTGAAATCATGTTTAATCATTAATGCGAAATTCCGCTATTTCAGTTCGTATATTTTTTATTTTAAAACCGAAATAAAATATTATATTAAAATGATTTGTTCTATAAAATTTTTAATTGAGTCAATAAATAATTTTACCGTAATTCAGTTAAATTATCGGTAATGGAATTATGCGGCCCTAAGCTCCTCCTAGGAATTAAAGGATTAAATATAGTGGAAATTTTAGCCTATATAGGATGTAAACCATTTGAAAGTTTCTTGAATATAAAACGGATTTTTAAATAAATAAAATTATAATAAATTAGGTTAGAGATAAACCTTCTACTAACATCATAACCTCCTAATCTACTAAACTTTTGCCATATGCACTCACATGCCGCAATAAAAATGTTCTTGATCAGACATATTAAAATGCGAGCTTTGTCCTCTTTTCCCCTTGACAATGCATATGTCTACGGTCTTTCAATATATTTATCTTTAAAAATTAATTAAACACAATGGTTCATCAGTAGTTATTATTATCATAATTTGTTGCTCCACTAAAGAGACGTTGAATTGGATGTTGTGGGTAGCGTACACCTACCCACTACATCTTATTAATAACTATTTTATTACAAAATTTAACTAATATCGATGATTTGGAACAGTTTTAATCAGTTAATATTAGTCTTATTGCAATGGGTTCTTGTATTTACTGCAATAGTTAAAAAACAGAAAACCAAATAGCAATATTGGTTTGTAGACACTTACGTTCTGACACAGAACAAATATGTTATTGTCAATTTAGGTTTTATGTAAAATTCTATAATTTTTGTAAGCAAGTTTTAAATTTTTTGAATCAGTAATAAATAATAATAAAATAATTTAAATAATCCTAGCAAAATTTTAAATGTTCCGTAGAGATGTGAAATAAAAGACATTAATATTATAACAATATTATAACGTTTCATATGATAGCAGATATCATACATTTACAACCATACAAATATACATAATAAATATATATCATCAGATATATATATGAGAAATGTATATACTCATATACATATAAAAATATGTTGTTAACATTTAATATGACTTATTTAAATTTATCAACATTAAAGTCAACTTATCCTGAAATAAAATTGGAACTATCAGAAAATTTTGAGAAAATCAGATTAATCATAATTAAATTTAATTGTGACAACGTCATGCTTATTATTATTTTACATAAGTAAAAATTATGTAAATTGTTAGATAAAAAAATCTTAATTTATTTGTACATTACATTGATTACAGTACATTACATTGATTTTTAATGGAGTTATATCTACATATATAACATATACATATGTAGTTTTGGTGGAAATTGTAAGACTATGAATTTTGTTCTGAGCAAAAATCATTAGCAATTTAGATCAAAACAAAATTAATCAATTTTTCTAATCAGTTGAAAACAACATTCTATAAAATGTCTAAGTTCCAGCTTTTAATAGGTTATAAAAATGACAAACAACCATTAGTAATATAGATTAAAAAAATTGATGTTTATATTATAATTTTGTTTTTTTTTTTTCAGTTGAAAATCATTTTATGTTAATCTTTTAAGTTTAAGTTTAAAAACTAACCAATGCAGATAAAAAAATTTAGGTTTATCGTACATTTTAACCAATATAACCATTTCTTGTGAAGATCATATTTTATTAGTTTGACAAAAACACAAAATAATTTTCTTCGCACTTATAATAGATAATAGTTTTATTTATTCCTTTATATATTTTTATTTTTTTTATTTAGTTCAATGATTTTTCTTCAATGATTTTTTCTTAAATCTTACCTTACAACCCTCGCATGTAAATGCACCACAATGAAACCCCGCCGCAGGCTCACCGCAAACCTTGCACGTCTGGTTCATCTAAAAGATAACAAATAAAATGAATATCAATTCTCTTATATGTTCAAAAATCTACGAATAAACAAATAAAGCAATAAATTAATATAATTTCAATTAAATGCAACAAATCTTAATATCTGAACGCTGTAAGCAAAATTCACACGCATGTCGCTGCCGTGTATGCGCCTTATATTTCAAATCGCATTTTAAATATAAATTCGAGAATAAGAAAAAACTGCAGAAAAACGAAAAGTATATTGTGTTTGGAGAAAAAAAGCTAAGCTAGCTAGCTAGCTAAGCTAGCCCCAAACAAAAATCATTGTATCTCAAAATTCGTATCTAGCGAAAGGTGAGCGCGTTTGCTCACGAACTGAACAAGATGAAATCTGATGAAAAATTGCGCCCAAGGTGCTGAACTGCATTTGCATTTATATGGGGATGAGATTATATGTAAAATATTGCAATAAAGTAAAATATATATACGAAATAAATTAAAAAATTAAAATAAACGCATTCGAAGTGGCAGAAGATGCACACATTGCACAAAAATTTATTACAACGTAAGCGCTTATCAACAAATTGCAATCGGCATACAAGGCCAAGGACTCATGTTGCGACTCATGTTTTGGCTGCTCTTGTAAACATTTAACACAGCTCTCGATTGCAGGCATTAAGTCTTAGGCCTTGTGCCGTGTGCAGCATTTGCTGCACTGCGCGGCTCTTAGTAATAAAACGTATTAAAATAGAGCAAACGCGCTCGAACCCACAAAAAATTACATTGTCAATGCAAATTTTCACATGCATAGATACAAAGCAGCAAATCGCAAGTAGCAATAAATTTATGTTATTTTTTGGTTTCATTTTTCAGGATTGAAATACAAGTTGATTCCGAACATAAAGTTTTAATATTTATAAGACATAAATTAATTTTTCGGTGGAATTAATTAATTTTTTTATCACTCACTTAATTAAGTTGTCAGTAAGTTTTTAAATAAATAAGGTTGGTAGTTCACTTCATTAAAAATTGCTATATATATTTAGTAACTAAAATGATTTTAGTGAGCTATAAAAGCTATGAGAATCGAATTTTATTACAGATTTTTAAACATTTATTACGTTTATTTATTAAATATTTGTAAATCTTTTCCTATAACATGCAGTTGAGGTGAATAATGCACTTGTAAATCATAGCATTTACCTCGGCTCTGTGCGATTTGTCTTTGGCAGCATCAAGTGTGCAAGTAGAGACATAAACATCAGCAACTTTTAGTTGATATCGAAAAAAATTTATTGCTTACGAGAAAAAATCACACGAAATCAGATTAGAACATATTCACAGGATTTGAAAAAGTGAATGTGAATTTATGTTGGCAATATGTTCGAGATCTTGTTTCTGACGGCTCCGCTGGTAAGTGAATGCCAATAATGTTGAAGTGCATATTAAGCCAAGATTTTATGATGGAAATATGTATGTGAGGAAATTATTACCACTGCGTTTGCATCACACATCTGGAACATGTGTTAACAACGTTCCAATGGTAGTAACATTTAAATGGAGTCATTCGAAATACATAATATTTTATGATTCGATAAAAATGCTTATTTACCTTGAATGCTAAAGCTTTGTGATTCGTACCATGCACAATAATTATTAATTGGAGCAGAGCACATACTTTTTATACAAATGTGTTTATGATCCATTACAATTTTTTCCATATATAGAAATTCTATTACTATAGCTTTTTTGTTTGTGCAATGCATTTACAATAATAAAAGCAAATAGCTTTCTATTAAAAGAAACATTCGAACTACACATTAAACTACTTTATTGACATTATTTCACATTTGTATTATACTTTAGTTATATGACATTTTTTATTTTAGAGAATGTAAAAAGAATAAGTTATATTAAATAGTTAATAGATTTGCAAACATAAACAATATGTTCATTTTATAAATTCGTTTTAATCAATGGGATACCAAGGCGTATGAGTGATATTAAAAACTGAACCTGTAATTAGCAGAAATAAATGTTAAAAATACCTTTTCTTATATTATATAATAATTTTAAATAACATCTTAATACTTTTATTTTAGAGAACGATTAAAATGTTAAAAAAATTAAGAAATGTTTAAACTTTTAAAGCAATCAATAGGAGCCTTTGCTTCCTCTGCGTATGGTGGTATTGCGTCTTTGCCAATCGGTCTTTCTTTAAGATACAAAACTGTACCAAAATAATATTTAATTCAATGAAACTTAAAATAGTATATACCTAAATATAATTATTTTGTTGGAGTCATTTGCCTACTAAGACTTAGTGCTCTCATTTACGAATTACGGTTGGACAACATATACAAAAGCATCCAAAATAAGGATTCAATTTGTTGAGATCGATTTTAAGGAATCGCATTTTCAATTCCTTCTTTATCGATAAGCATGGTTTGCAATAAACTATCAAAATTTTTAGGTCTTTGTACTGATACTATAGTAGCTTACAGAAAGTCTTTATATGTATAAAATATTAAAATCTTTAATGCGGTTTTTGTTTTCTATATTTTAATAAATATTTTTATTTACTTCTGTGAATCCATATTAAGTAAATATGTATAGTATATTGATGGTTGTAGTATATATTTTTAATTACAAATATTCACAATTATTGCTTTTTCTTATTAATACTTATATATATACAACTGATTCACACAACATGATATTAAAGTTTCTAACTTCTAAATGACAAATTAAGTTTATATGAATAAGTCTTGTTTTAGAGATATATCACTTGTAAATAATTTATTCTATTTAAAAATATTTTTCGCAAATATCTCTATCCACTTCCTTTATTTGTGTAGATGTTTTGTTCAAAGTTTTTTCTTCTTCTTAGAACCGGAAGAGCTATAAGCCATTACTATCTGATATTTTATTTTGAAATTAAACTATACTGAAACTAATTATCTCTTATCAATTCCTCAACAATATATCTATTAAATGTTCTTAAGAACTTGTAGTCAGTTATGCTTAACTATGTTTGGATATTTTTAGACAATATCTGCATAAAATTTTTCTAAGAAATAATTAGCAAGATTCGATAAGACCCTCGTTCATCAAATTTCGGTGGTACATACAATTTGGACTTATTTATGCAATTTCAAATATTTCGCATATCATCACAACATGCTTATAATTATTTCGCTCAGTTTGTTGATATTGATTAATAGTTTCAAATTTTTCAAGACTTAATCTTTTTCCGAAAATATTTATTAATTAATTTTATTATTGGATTTTTTTGTTTTCTCATTTTGATTTTGTTCGTTTATTATTATTAGTAAAAATTTCAATTAGATTCACTTTGTGGTTTTGTTTATATTATGTTTGCAAATTATATTTGACCTTTTAGCTTTGGTTTTGAAGTGAATAAGTAAATAATAAAAATAAATAAGCCACTGTAAAAAATATATAAAAATAATTTAAAAATGCGCTTATATACAACAAGTTTATACAAAAATGATTTTACTAGATTTTTCAATTGCTTTATTAAAACCTTTTAAATAAAATATAAAATATTTAGGAGCAGTCAAGTGCGTTATTGCCTAATAATTTGCAAAAAAAAAACAACAAACTTAATTTAATTAAAAATAAATTTAATTTCCTGTGCATAATTCAAAATTACTTGTATTAGAACGAACTTTAGTAACCTCTAACCTATTTAATGAATTGTTAAGTTTTTAGATAATTTCTTACATTTAATCAATTAAGATCTTACAGACACAAGTTGTGACCTCTTCGCCTTGCAAAAATTATAATAAATTTTATAACAAAACATTATCAAATCAATCATTTTAACAATAATTTTTGAAATGTGCACAGTTGTTGTCAGCACAAATGAGGTAGTAAAAACTACAAATAATTCGTTCATCAATACTTGCATTTTCATACTTGCACAGATACAGATACAGATACACTCATATGTATCTGCGTTTTATAGATATGCATGTGTAGTAAAAATAAATAAAAATAATAATAATGATATTAACAGTAGAAAAATCCATTGAATTCGTTTCTCAAACAAATGAAACTGCTTAAAATGATTTAGCAAAAAAAAGTATCTTGTGTTGTGCTGTGCTGTGTTCTGCTGTGCTGTCGTGGCATTTGGTGCTTGACTCAATGAGCATATAACTGCACTAGATGCCAATGACTTGACATGTGCGAATCAAATAAAAATTAATCTCAAAGATGTATTTGCATTAAAATGAAAAATGAAAAACGAAAAAAAAAATTAAATAAAAATATAGAAAAATAATGTTCAAGATTTATGAAATGTCTGAATGTGCATACATATGTAAATCTGGCTACATACGTACATGACATGAGTTTAGTCTTAAGTTCTCGAGTTCTCGGTTGTCGCTTGATAGACAACTTAAGGACAGACAGTCAAACCGTCAAACCGTCAAGTCGTCAAAACGCCGGACATAGAAGCGATTATAAAAAGTTTCTCATGATTTGCTGTGCTCAAGTGTTTTCACAAAACAGTTCGCAAATGGGCAGAAGCCAGCTTAAACATTTTTAGATTTGTTATTTCTTCCTAAACAATTTTTATTTTCACCATTTACTGCAGTAGTTGAAGTATTGTACATTTCAACTACAAAACAACAAACAAAAAAATTAATAAATTTAAAAATAGTAAATAATTTCAAAAATCATGGCAAATAAAAATATTACATGCAAGTCACTGGAAGAAGAAGAAGCCGAAGAAAAATTGTATGTATTTTTGATATGAAGTTGACATCAATAAATCGACAAATTGCGATTTGATTTGTGGCATATGGTTCGTTCGTTATAAGGATTAGAGATCATCACAAAAAAAAAACATTCTGTACATGACGTCATAAACTATTGGAAAATTAAATAGGATTCGAAAAGTAGTTAACTACCAACTTCTGAAATTTTTGAAATATGGTGAATATAAATTTTAATGGATATATTTTTATGGTATAGAATAAGCAGAGGTGTATCTGCATTT